ATCAAGGCTCCTCCAGCAGTTTGTCCAACCACACGTTCCTTCCACTTAAGGAATTTAGTGGAAAGTCGAATCTGAGACCATGACTTAATTCCATGGTGATTTTGGTTTTTTTGAGACCATCTGGATGTTGGCTGGCCAAACTTGTATTTTGTTATGTAGGGTACCTGCTTTCAGCAAAGATTTCAGTTAAATCTGTGTATGTTTTTGCACTTTAAATCTAATTTGTTCTATTAGTTTAACTTCAGCTTTCCCTACCAGAGGGCATTCTGGATGTATAGAGTGATAGGAGGAACAGGGGTGGTAAAGCTTCTCCACAAGAACAATTTGCTTGAATTTTCTTTAGAAAAGTTTAAATCTTCATAGGGCATAAGAATGCTTTTAAAAACAACAAAAAAAGGTAAACAATTCCAAAATAAATAGAAACGGATAGTTTTCAGCAGGTCAGTTTTCACACTGACTACATTTTCTTTCCGTGAATAAATACAGTAATTAAGGAAGGGCTTAAGGACTATGTGATAGCATATTACATTACTAAAGTAAAACCAAAAATCTCCTGTTACTTCATGCTCTCCTTCCTTATCTCCTTTTGTAATGCAGGGTTTCCTTCAACATTCATCTCAAGCAACACTTTCTTTGTAGGTCTTTCCTTGGCCTCCCTCATTCCCAAGGTTACCTTGTATTTGCTTTGTATGTATTTTGTATAGACTTTTATCTATGTACATGTTTCTCCATTCCAGTGTAAGCTCTTTGAGAGCATAGGCAATTATGGTTTTGCCTCATAATTAATGGTTTGTGGAATGAATATTAATGTAGAATGCTTTAACTCTGAAGTATTGCTGTAATGTCAGCTCTTAGAAGAAGGAGATCAGCGTGGAATGAAGTTGTAAGAGAAAGCCTTGTATAGAAGGGAGTCACAAGTGAGATTTGACATTTCTAGCTCCATGTGTGCTGGGCCCTGTGTTCAGCGTTAGGGATACCAACACAAGAGTGAAATAGTCTCTGCTCTTCAGAAGATTACACTCCGATGGGAGAAGTAAATGCTAATATTTAAGAATATAGAGGATACATACAAGGAAGGAAGGCCCTAGGAACTGTGGGAAGCGATGATGTACAGGGAAGGCTTCAGATAGGGTGTGGTGCTTATGCTGAGTAGTCAAGGAAACCCAGGATTCTAAGTGGTATACATCAGCAGTATACCCCATGCCTGGGTAGCAGCCAGTGCAGAGGCATAAAAGGCTGGAGACAGAATGTCAGACATGGGAGACAGTAAAGGTAACCCGACCAGTGTGTCTGGACTATATAGTGCATGGAGGAAGAGTAATATTGTGTAGGAAGACTGGAGAGGTAAAAAGGGCCCAGTTGTGAAGAGTTTTAAATGCTGAGTAAAGATGTTTATACTTGTGATGCCAGAGATAACAGGGAGTCACTGGAATTTATTTTGTAGAGAATGACATGGTTAAGGAAAAATCCCTTTGATTTTATGTTACATGTTGTGTGGAGAATAGTTTAGAGTGGGGAGAGGCTTAAAGTTAATGAGACCAAATAGGAGGATATTATAATTGTTTAGGTAAGAGAGGATGAGAGTCTGATTCAGAGTGGTGGGTTTATGATTGAAGAGAAGGGGATCTGTGTGAGAGAAATTTTGTGGAGATAGAAATGACAAAATTTGGTAACTGGTTGAATATGTAGAGTGATAAGGTGAGGGTGACACTAAGGAAATGAACCTATTTGACTGTAAGGACGGTGGTAGTGAAGAGGAGAGATAGCGAGTTCTGTTTTAGAGATGTTGAGTGGCAATGTCTATGGACATGCAATTTGAAATGTCGAATAGGCAGTTAAGTATTTGGATCTCCATGAGGGTCATGAGCGAAACTAGCCTCAAGGCCACATGGCCCTCTAGGTCCTCAAGTGTGGCCCTTTAACTGAATCCAAACTTCATAGAATAAATCCCCTTAATAAAAGATCTGTAGATCTATAGGTCACCAAATGTGAGAGTGCAAAGAGAAGAAGGTTCCAGAACAGAGCAGTGGAAGGAACCCATGAGCAGTGGGCATGACATGGATGATGAGTGAATGAGGTGTGACTGAGAACTAGTGGTTAGACAAATAAACAGGAGAGAACACTGTCACAGAAACCCAGAAAAGAGCATCCAGGAGGAGAGAAGGGAGCATTGACAGTGTCTAATGATGGAGTGAGGTCTAGAAGGACAAAACTTGAGCAAATTGACAATGAGAATTGACAATTAAAGAGAGCAATATCAGTTGAATGATGAGATTGGAAGCTAAGATACAAGAAGGTTTTGAAGAAAGTGAGAGAAGAGGAAGAAGAAACACCAAGTGTAGATTTTTTTTCAAGAAGTTTGGCCGAGAAATGGATGAGAGATTTGGAATTTTAGGTAGTAAAGATGATGGCTTCCTAGTGAGGGTTTTTTTTTTGTTTTTGTTTTTGTTTTGGAGAGGGGAGGCTTGGGCTTGTTTGTATAGGCAGCCGAGAATGGAGCCAATTAGAGAAAGGAGATGATCGTAGGGTCAGTCTTCTGGATACAGAGGGAGGGGACAGGATCATGAGTACATGGAGATTGGGTGGCCATGGCAAGAAGAGTTTACTAAAGATGAGAATAGTATCTTAACCAGAGACTGGACTAAAGTTAGAAATAGTAAGGGATAATGGCATGGAGTTGTGAGATTGTCTTGCTGTACTAAAGGCCCAGTTGCATTTAGATAAATTTGGAGTGTAGCTGGTATTCTAAGTTGTGTTTTTCCCCAGCTCCATTTAGCAGCACTTAAGTCGTAGCAGAGGAGGCAGATGGTGAGAATGATCCATGTTTTGAATTTGGGATAGGACAAAGGGATGAAAGGTCCAAGACTGAAGGAGAGTGTGGAATTGAACCAGTTCACGGAGAGGTCGACATTGAGAAGAAAATAAAGTGAAGTCAGAGACTAGGGGTAACAATCCTGAGAAAGTACTGATGAATTGTACAATTGGAGGCAGCAGTGATAGGAAAGAACAGATTGAGGAAGGGGAAGGCATTGGGAAAATTGGAATGACAGATTGTGATCAGATACAGAACCGTCTTGAGTTTTTATTCAGGAAGTGAAGAATGTAGGTAATAGTGAGAAGCAGGATGTGTCCATGCCAGTGCATGGTATAATAGGAGAAGAGATCGTGGGTTTGAAGAGATCAAGGAACTGGGAAGTTAGGGTATTTGAGAGAGTATCAACATTAATGAAGTCCATTAGTATAAGACCAGGAATTGGGTGGGAGAGGAAGACTTTGAGACAGAAACTGAACACTTTGAGAAAGGAGGGCTGGTATACAGTAGCTACAATAATCTGTGTAGGTTTAAAAGATTTATTAGTGTGAACTTAAGAGAAGGAGAGATTGCTGAGTAGAGGCAAAGGGAGAGTCTGAAAGTGGGGATCAAGAAGTATTCTTACTCTGTGTAAAACTAATATGTTAAAGGGTGTGAGAGAAAGTACAGCCATTGCTAGAGACAATAGTGAGGGACAAAGTATTGTCTTGCAGGGGAGCCAGAGCTCATTGAGAGAAAATAGATGGGAGGATTATCCAAGGCAAAGTTCCAGAATGAAAAGAAGTTTTTCAATATGGATCTGAGCTTGCAGAGGATGCAATGAAAGAGTGGGCAAAATTAAGAGGTGAATGGGAAGAGAATGACAAAATGAAAGTTGGGAGTTGGGGTTAGTTTTCCAGGTAACTGGTGATTAATATAATGAGGGATGTGTAGAATAACCAAGTGGTGAGAGCTTGTTGGTCATGTTGAAGGCAGTGAGTGTCAGATAAATGATGAACCAGTATTTTCAGCTTCTAGATCCTCCAACTCTCAGCCTTCCTTTTGAGAATGGCAGCCTTTCACCAGGGATCATGTATTTCTTCCAGATTCCTTAGCTACTGATCTCTTGGCTTTTACTCCAAGTGATTATCATCAGAAGACGCCATACATCTGACCAGAACATGACCTGTGTGAAAGCAACATCAGTGTTTGAGGGAGTGATTGGTTTTGGGAAATTATGTACAATATCTTACTTTTCAGAAATTTTGAAAAGACCTGTTGTAATTTACAGTAAAAATACCCATTTTGGTAATAAAGTGATAATTAACAATTTCTTTAATAATATTTGAGTGGAGGCAGCTTTGTGGTGTAGTAGGTAGACTGCTGGTTGTGGATTCAGGAACACCTGAGTTCAAATGCTACTTCAGACACCTACTAGCCCTATGACCTTGGGCAGTTTCTCTTAGTCTCAGTTTTGTTGTTGTTCAGTCATTTTTCAGTTGTGTCTGACTCTTCCATTTGGAATTTTCTTGACAAAGATACTGGAGTGACTTGCCATTTCCTTCTCGAGCTCATTTTACAGATGAGGAAACTGAGGCAAACAGGGTGAAGTGATTTGTCCAGGGTCACACAGTTAGTAAGTGTCTGAGGCCAGATTTGAACTCAGGAAGATGAGTGTTTCTGACATTCTATCTACTGCATCACCTCACTGCCCAGTCTATTTCCTCATTTGTAGAGGGGGAGGATAAGGCTAGCTTCTACCTTATAGGTTTCTTGTGAGGATCAAAGGAGATAACTTGCACAGAGTTTTACAAAACTGTATGAATACTAATTATAAATTTTAACATTTGAGTGTTCGATCTTTGTGCAACTCTAAAATCATGTAAAAATAAACTCAGAATATTTTAACTTTGTGTGACAGAACTTAATAAACATAATCTCATTTGATTGGGTAGAAAATGGGGGAATACCCCATTTACAGAAACAGAAAACAAGGCACACAGAGGCTACGTGCAAAATTAGATGTATCTCCAGGTCTTCTGGCTCTAAGTCTGATAGCCTTTCCACTTTCTGATGGCAATAATGCCATGAAGAATAGTATGATTTGGCCACTTTTTCTTATTTAGAGAATATTTCAGATTTTAGTCTCTCAGTGATGATAATCTGTTAATCAATAGCTAATGTCCCTGATACATTCTGTTTTGTGCAGCTCTGACAGATTGATGCTATTGGCAGGAAGTAACCTGGAAATCAGTGATCTCATGGAGGAGGATGCTGGGACCTACGCCTGCATAGCCGATAATGGCAATGAGACAATAGAGGCTCAAGCAGATCTCACAGTTCAAGGTACACACATATTTGTTTTATAAAACAAAAGAAGGTGCCCTGTCAACTCTCTTTTTTTTGTGTGTGTCCCTTAAAAGGGAAGTAGTGATGAGTCATGAATGCTATTTTGGATAAAGTCAAGTCTCCAGCTAGTATTATAATAGAATAATGTTGTACTGGCCTATTCATTCAACAAGTATTCATTAAATTCCTCCAGTATACCAGGAAACTGAATGACTATATCAGAAGAATTATCTGGGTGATTCTTGGAGGCTTCATGGAGACAATGGACAAGGGTCTCACAAGATGAAGTGTGGATGGGTTTCACTGTGTACCAGAAGAGGGAATACCCACCTCAAATGGGCCCTCGCTGCCGCCATTCTTTTACACTCTCCTAATTAGCTACTATCTCATTCATCATAGGAGCTCTTCCAAATCTTTTCATCCCTTCTCAAACCTCCCATGGCTCCCCTATTCCACACTCTCTCAGCTGAAAACTTTGTCTCATATTTCACTGAAAAAATTGAGGCCATTCTCTGAAAACTCCCTCTTCTCTACTCTTTCTCATGTCATATCACTTGGGTGCTTTCTACAACTGTCTTCTTCTTCACCTGTCTTACGTAATGAGGTGGTCCTTCTTGCCAAGACAGTCTCCTCTCTGCACTCACAAATAATATTATTCCACTCTGCCATCTTTAGCAGGTTGCCCTCACCCCCAACCCCCATCATTCTCACTCTCTCACCTATCTTGAGTCTCTCCCCATCTACTCGCTGCTTCTCTATGGCCTACAAATATATCCATGTTTCTCCCTTTCTCACTTAATCCATTCATACCCACTAGATATCAACGCATGTCTCGCCTCCTTTTTGTGGCTAAACTTCTTGAGAGTTGCAAAGTTCAGAAATTTTTGAAGGGGGACATTGAAAAAGGCCCATCACAGATCCCCGTAGTAATTGTGTAATAGCCTTCATTTAAACTGCTGTAGTGAGTGGAAGTAGATCATAGAATCCTAGATTTAGAGCTGGAAATCACTAACATCACAGTTTTCTTATTTCGTTCATGTTGCTCAAAATGCACTTTGAGAAATTGTGTTTTAGAAAATTAGAGTCTTTTCAATATTCCTTTTTTTATTTGGATCAGATTTGACCTATAAGAAAATTCCTTTTATTATTCTTTTTTCTAAATGAAGAAAATTTCTTTGATGAAGGATCATTGTCAAAAGACAGGGGTCATATTAAGTAAAAAATAACTTTTGCTGTAGTATTTTTAAAAATAATCATATAAGTATAGACCATTTCTTTATCTCAAATGAACCTAAAATGTTTCAGAAACTGAAAAAAGCATAAAGGATATTAACATTTGTTAAATAAAGCATAATCCCTTGGAACAATCTTGGCACATAGTAGGCCTGTCAACTTGATTTTCATGGTATGGTATTCCCCTGTTAGGTAGAAAGCTAATTGCTTCATTTCAAATTTGTTCAGTTGTGAAAGATAAATTGAGCAAAGGGCCCGGTTGGCACACTGGATTTAGTGCTCAGTTTTGAGCCAGGAAGACCTGGTTTTAGTCCTGGTCTCTGCCATTTACAAGCTGTATGTCCATCAACAAATTTATTTCATTTCTCTGAGCTTTGGTTTCCTTAACTGGAAAGTAGGGAAGAAAATATTACCTCTGATATGTAACCCACAGAGTTTCTGTGGGGCTAACATGAAATAAGGTATGTTAAGCATTTTCCAAACTTTAAAATGTTATACAGTTGTCAGTTATTATTTATTTAGAATACTTCCTATGAACATTTCCTTGCAGATTTAGATTTTTTCCTCATGTCTATAGATATGAGGGCATGGACTGAAAACAAATATGGAAATTTTTGCTTCAACTCTACCCTTTTACTAAAGTGTCCACTGGATTTCCGTTAGGTAAGGTGTCAATGATGGTAAAAAGCAGTTGAAGGGAAATATAATTGAGTATTTCTAAGCTACGGTTGTCTGGCTTCAGTTAATTTTTATCAAGGTATGTCTACAGGAAGCGCCATGCTGGCAGATACTGACAGGGTTAAAAGTGCACTCTTCATCTGGTAAATATTTAAGATTTATTGTTTTATCATCAACTCATGGGTTGCCTACAAATATTATGACGTGAATTAGCCCACTGCATGTTTTTCCTGTCATCTGTTATAGATTATAGATAATACACTGAATGATGAGTTTAAGGGGAATTTTCCCTTTCTCTTGAAACATTTACTGAAATTTGTGTTATTTCTACTCAGAAACAGAAAATTAACTCTGTACTGTTATGTTCCTGACTTATTGCCAAATTGATTAGTTTATTTCAAGATTCTTTGTTAAAGAATAAGCCACCAATAAATAGTCAGTAAACATTTATTAAGTGCCTACTGTGTGCCAGGCACTGTGCTAAGCACTGGAGATATAAAAAGAGGTAAAAGGCAGTCCTTGCCCTCAAGGAGTTTATAGTTTAAGGGGGGAGGCAACAAGCAAACAAGTATGTACAAACACGCTATACGTATAGCAGGATAAATAGGGAATAATTAAAAGGAGCGTTTCCTTCGACAGTGATCGAAAAGCTGGGCACAGGGAAAGGGGTTAGAGGGAAGGATGATGAGTTCAGTTTGGGGCATGTTGAGTTTAAGGTGTCTACTGGACATCCAGTTTGAGATGTCTGAAAGGCAGTTGGAGATGCGAGGTTGGAGGTCAGCAGAGAGGTTAGGGCAGGACGGGCAGATTTGAGAATCATCAGCATAGAGATGGTCATTACATCCGTGGGAGCTGATTAGATCGCCAAGTAAAGTAGGATAGAGGGAGAAGAGAAGAGGCCCAGGGCAGAGCCGTGTGGGACACCTACGGTTAGAGATCTGTCATCATTGTCATCACTCTCTGTCACACAATGTCATTTTTCCCATCTGCAAAATTCAGGAACTTATGAATCTAACCCATTTGTTTTTACTTCCACCCTTTCCTGTCTCCTAGATGGTTCTTACACTGTTCCCTCTGGTCAGGCTTTCATGCTGTGGTTACGGTCTTCTTTTCTACTTGTTATACATAACATCTGTTGAAATGTTTAGGTTGGGGAAACCACCTGGAGATGCTTCCTTATACAAGCTGTGAGACAAAAAGGGTGCAGAGAGATCCTGTGCTCTTCACTGTTGCTTCTGGTAAAGAGCTGTTTGCAGAGTACTTCTGGTAAAGTGACTGATTTTGATTTTATTTGAGTCAGTCAGTCAGTAAACATGTATAGTGTGCCTGCTGTGTGTTAGGCGCTCTCGCAGTCTAATGGGAGAGACAACATACACACAACTGTGGACAAGACCTTGAATTCAAAGGAATAGGGTAAGAAGTGGTGATGATTTGTACCACTTACCTGGAGTTCACACTCTGCAGGGTCCTTTGTTACAAAGCCATGCACTAGAATAAATAGTGTTTATTTTCCATACACTAGAGAAAGTGTCATCTTTCCTCCTAGAGCCAGTGTGGTCTGGTGGAAAGAACATGGGACTAGAGGAGTGGATTGCAGGGCCTGCATTCAAGTGCTTCATCTCTGTGACCTTTGAGGGGCCTCAGGTTCCTCATCTGTAAAATGAGACTGTTGAAGAAGATTGCCTTCAAAGGCTCTTCCAGCTCTTAATCCAATGAGATTATATTCACCTTTGTATCTTCTGCACACCAGGGAGTTTTATGCCTTGACATACTAATATCTTGGTGTTTGATGAATGAATAAACAAACTGAGTCAGGAGACCTGTATTCTCTTAGACCTGTCCTTGACTGACTGTTTCAGATATTATTTAGGATTAGGGAGTGCCCCTCTCCCCGCACTCCCGTGCCCCCCCCCCCCCCGCTACCCTTCCCCTCCCGTAAACAGAAAAGGTAAGTTATTGGTGAAAAACAAAAATTTTTTTATACTATATAGTAAATTCATGTTATTCAGCATACCTAAATGTAATTCTCTTAGAATATATGATTTCATTGTTTGGACTTTTTCCTCCACTGGTGCAGGTAACAACTTAGCCAATAGTCTTCAGAAGTTACTGGGACTAAAATCCATACTACTGTCTGAGCAACAGAAATGGAACTGAGTCTGTTTACACAGAGAAGTGAGCTACTATAAGTAAAAGTGAAAAAGAGTGAAAAGTGTGAAGCACATCTTAAGCATAACTTGTCATAATTATGTCCAAAATAGTTTTTAAAATTCAAGATGTTTTATCCCTACACTCATCCAATTCACATTTGCTAATAAGTCACTCTTAGAGAATTCTTCTAAGAGTATTCCATGTAGTGGGAATAACAGTTCACTCCTTGAATTATGTACAGTTCTTCAATGGAAATTGTAATAAGAGAATGGCTTTCCTTGGTGTGATTCTTTTAGTTATAGTATTAGCAATCAGTCAACTTAGTTCTTTACAAAAACAATGATTTATGTTCTGATTGCATCACAAAGTTATATGCACCAGTTATTTACCTTTTTTTTTTTTCAATATATTCTCTGCAATTTTTGAAAGTCTTGGTCTCCCACCATAGATGTAGGAAACACCATAGACATCATTTAGTGATCTCTCCCTGTCTCCTTCTTCTTTATCCCTAATCATACAGATAAGTAAATCTAGGCTTATATCAGCAAAGTGACTTCTATAAAGCACCAGAACCTAGAATTTACCTGACTGTCCAATGCTCTTTTCACTCAGATATTTTCCTACTCCTAGTGGTAACTATTTGTTAATGAGTATTTCAGTAGCAGCATGCTAATTGCCAAATATGTCTAAGAAAACCTTTTTCGTCTCCAGAAGAAAGGCATCAATTTGGTAGCTTAAAGAAAACAAGTTAATGATAAATCATCACTCTTAGCTGAATCATTCCCCCACACAGCTGTAATTGCATACTGAATTTGGCTCTCTTGATAAGTAACAAATCAATTCTCCAAGCTACAAGTCAATAATTTATTTGAAATTTTTCTTTTTTAAAATATTCTTTCTTCCTCTCCCCTCCCAAAAAATATCCTTCTTGGGAA